GCAGGGGCGGCCCTGGTTAGTACTTGGATGGGAGACCTCCTAGGAAGACCAGGTGCTGTAGGCATAAAAAATAAATAAAAACATAAGGTATTGTAAACTAATAAGGTCTTTGCAATCTGCGAGGTCAACCAAGGGTTACCTTGCCTAAAAAAAAAATATATATATTTTCGATAGTTCTAAGACTACTCCATAAAAATCAGTTTATACAAACAATAGTCCAGTAGAAAATTAAAGTTGATACTATTCACAATAGCCACAAATTCCATAGCGCATCTTGAAGTATCTTAAGTATATATTATAACTCCATATAGAGAAATTATGGAAAGATATTTCATAATCAGAATTGAGTGATGCTATCAGGAGATCAATTAATCTCTCTCTATATATATATGTATATTTATATATACATATATATTTTTATTTATTTATTTAGAGCAATTCTGCTTAAAATTCGAGTTTAGTTTTTAAAGAAATTCAAGAAGTTCATTGTAGTATTTAAATCACGGAACGAAAGTCCACATATGCCTAAATTAACCTTAAAAATGCAAAAGAGGGGAACACTTTATCAAATATTAACAATACAAAACTATAGAAAGAAATCCATATGCTATTGTCAGAAGAACAATAATGAACTTAAGACTAATGAACTTAACAGAGTTCAAAGATACCCATCTATATATGGCAACGTAATATTTTATAAAGATGATACTACATATCACTGTGAATTGTTTAGAAGACTGTGTTAGGAAGACTGGCTAACTATAATCGGAAAAATAAATCTTGGTTCCTAACTATCACCAAATGTAAAGGTGGATTCTAGATGAAATAAAGACACAGATGTTAAAGTAAAACTATGAAATTAGACAGAATATATGAGAATATCTCTATGATCAAAGGCATAGAACAAAAAACTTCAAATGCACAACCATAAAGCAAAAAAATTGGTAAATTTGATTAACAAAATTAAGAACTTTTCTTAAAAGACAGACATAAAGGATAAAATTAAGAGACAGATAAGAGAATGACATATTTATAAATATTTAAATTTCTGCAAACTCACATGGACAGTATGTAAGTGCCAATAGAAGAGTGGTTAAATAATAATAAAATATTCAGAGGAGGAAACCCCAAAATTTTTTAAATGATATGAAGATATGCTCAATCTTACTAGAAATCAGAAAAATATGAGATATTTTTCTTTATTACCTATTCTGGCAACAATTAGAAAGACAAGACATGGAAATTTGTATGCTCTGCTGTGGGAATGCACCTCTGGATAGCCACTAAGTTCATGCCTATCTAATGATCCTACAATTCCAGAAGGAATTGTACCCTTGGAGAATTGTACCAAGGGGACCTTCTCCAATAGTACCATTGGTACCTACTCCGAAGAAATTCTTGTGCATGTACTAACAAGACATTCATGAAGATATCCATTGCAGTGCTACTTGTAGAGGTGGGAAATTGGAAGCAATCTGAGTCTTTATCATGGGTAGAGAGGATTTTAAAAATGGTGATTACATGCCATGAGTAATGTTTAGCGGTTAGAAGTAATAAATTATATGTAGCCTCATGGATATCATAAAAATATAATGCTGAGTGAGAAATGTCAGAGAATATGATATATAATGCACAATCATTTATAAAAATGAAAATTCATGGACACAAAATTAAAGATATGTATTTTATAAGAACACATACAAATGAATACACGTAACCCATTAGAATGGTTGCCTAAGGGATGAATGGGAGTGGCAATGGAGATACAAAGGAATATGTATATATTTTATAAAGCAGCAAGCAATGGCCTTTTCAAAGGCCAAGAATAATAAGGTATTATCAGAGGGGTAGTATGAATAATGCAGCCTTCCACTCCTGAAGTTAAAACAGGCAAACTTTTAGACTTTTTATGTGATAGTCTCTTCGTGATTTAAAGACAGAGGGCTGTAGTTTCCCAGAGAAAAGAAGAATTTGCCATATTCCAGCTTCATTATAGTCCCAATGCAACCTTTGTTTAGATGGCAATAGCTGTTTGAACTATTTTTTTGAACTGACAAATCAAGACACGTAGGACAGTGGTGCCTACAGCAGGCGGTAAAAGGGAATTAAATCGTTTGTTCCCTAATAGGGTTAATGAGAGGAAAAAAGTAAACACAGAGTATGTGTAGGAACTGTCATAGTCTAAAAGCAAGATTTCTTTCTAGAATATTCTGTCCTGACTACTGAAATCAAAGTGCCTTTTTCTCAGGTTATCCTCCTCGATGGCCCTATTTTCTGTTTCCAATCCCATTTCTTACAAGAGCTTCTGCTTCAGCCTATAAAAGCTAGGCCAGTCTTTCTTTAACTCTCACCTTCCTACTCATTCTCTCCAACTTCTCGCATTCCTGTTGTGCAAGAAGAATGAGAAGTGGGAAGATGAGGGCTCTATAATACATGGCTTTGCAGTAGCCATGCAACTGGCTCTTCACACTGTAATTCTAAATGCAGTTCTCCATACAAACATTATCACATATGAGTACAGACTTATATATAACGTACATTATTGATTAAATCTACTTTGTAGTCTAGCCTGGGGTCCTAATCACCATATGAAAGATTTCATCTGGACCTCCAACCTAAGATCTTTCAAATTCTGGCTATTATTCACTGTTCAATTTGTCCAGAGTTGCAAAATGAGGCTCATGAAGGAGGATCCTAGGGTAATATCTATATTAAAATGAGGCAGTTCTGGAATTGGGTAGTTCAGGAGGAGAGACAAATGAACCTGGAAGAAAGAATATTCAAAACCTAAAACTGCTTAGGTTTCAAGGTTGAAAATCACAAGAAATCACTTATATGTGGAGTGTAAACCTAAAAGCAACAAATGAACAGGACAAACAGAGACTTATGGACATGGACAATGGACTAGTGGGTACCAGAGGGGAGGGGGAAGGAGGGAAAATAAATAAAATATTAAAATAAATAAATAAATAAAATTTAGCTATTTAAAAAATAAATATATTTTTCTTTTGGCCTGCAAAAAATAAAAAAATAAAACTGCTTAGGTCTTATTTGGCCTCAAGAAAGACCATCATTATGTAAGGCATTGTTTCTTTGGGAAAATATTCTACCCCACCATAGTAGGCCGAATAATGACACCCCCAAAGATGTTCATGTCCTAATCCTTAGAATATGTCAGTTTTACCTTATATGCCAAAACAATTAAGGATCTCGAGATGGGAACATTATCCTGGATGATCTGGGTGGGCCTGATGTAATCATAAGGGTCCTTATACAAGGGAGGCAGGAGATCCAAGTCAGTAGTGGGTTATATGAGAGTGAAGCAAAAGTTGGGAGTGATGTGAGGATAGGCCCATGAGCCAAGGAATACAGGTGGCTTCTAGAAGCTGAAAAAGGCAAGGAAATAGATTTTTCCTTGACGTCTCCAGAAGAAATACAGCCCTGCTGAGAGCTTAAGTTTAGACTTTTGATCTCTTTCACTGGAAGAGAAAAAATTTGTATTGTCTTAAGCCATTAAAATTGTAATTTTTCACAGCAGCAATGGGAAACTAATATACACACTGACTTCAAATGAGCCTTTGAATCCATCTGTGGTAAATTGTATTTTCCAAAGATGGCTGCAAAACTGTTTCCTATCTCAAACACTCTTCTGCAACATCAACTTGCTGCTTCCTCTTCACTACGTGGAGTCTGTGCTTGCCACCTCTTCCTTGAATTTAGGTGGAACCTGGGACCTCTTTATCAATAGAATATGGTGGAAGTGACAAAATATTTCCTAACCGCCCTGGCAGCCTCTGCTTTCTTCCTCTTGGAAGATAGCTGCCATGAAAGAAGTGCCACTTTAGTACCAGCGTGCTATCAGAAACTCAACTACATGGAGAAGCCCTGCATCATGACATATCATATGGAGAGAGTGGCCAAGGAGCCAGACCTGTCAAGACATGTGAATGAAAAACTATCTTGAAGGTGGATCCTTCAGTGTGTGCAGCAGAGACAAACAGCTTAACCCAACCCTTTCCAAATATTTGACCCACAAACTATAAGCAAAGTAGAATGATTATTTTAAGCTACTAATTTTGGAGTTTATTACTCAACAAAAGATAATCAAATTTACCTTTTTAGTAATTCGGTGACTATCTGCATGGTGAAGTGATAAACATAATGTTGTCTTCAGTGGTTATTAAGAAATGTTATGTTGTTGCACTAAGTGAACCCTAGTTACTTAAAAGTCTGGAAGTGTTTTATATCTATTATTTCAGCTGTTATTTTTACTACATTGCTATATCTAATTTCACAGTGAGGAGTAAAACAAATACAGTAAACCTGTTTTGCTTTGTAATATTGAGGCATTATGCAAATATTATTATATTAGTCTCTATGCAACAATGGAAAAATTGGAAGTTGTCTACAGTAACCAGAAACACTAACTCATTCTATTGATTTAATTATAGACACTTCCTAAATCAGGCTTTGGTCTACAGATTTGAGGATTACTTTAAGTCTCTGCTACAGAATTAAGAACATAGATTTGTGTGACAAATTTCTCTGCTAATGCAAGATCTTGTTCACTTCCGGCTTTAAGTTTCTTCTCCAAAGAGAAGCTTCCATAACTACTTTTCATGATTCTGTATTTTTGCAATCTTGCTTTTTTTTTTAATGTTTATTTATTTATTTTATTTTTTATTTTTTATTTTTTTTGGCAAGGCAACCCTTGGTAGACCTCACAGATTTCAAGGACCTTGTCAGCTTACAGTCCCTTATTTTTTATTTTTTATTTTTTACGCCTACAGCACCTGGTCTTCCTAGGTGTTCTCCCATCCAAATACTAACAATGCCCGACCCTGCTTAGCTTCCAAGATCAGTGCAATCTTGCTTTGAATGCTGAATCCTGTAAATCCACAGGAGCATAAATATTATCTCTCGTTGGATAATTTCTACCATGATTTCAGGTCAAGTGAGCATGTCTACTCTAAAAAGATTATATTTGTTTGTATTTACAGGTTGTCTTGGCTCTTTCAGAGCTGGATTATTCACTGTTGCACGTCAGGCAACTAATGCTTATACTGACCTAAGGAGCTGCGTCAATGGTAAACGCCTCTAAAACCAATTTAAAAACAAAACTAAAACATGCAAATAAAGTACACCCATTAAATATAACTAATGTTTAAAAATCATGTAGGGTATGCCCGACAAGGAGGTGTTCTCAAAATACATTTGAAACAATGTTTTCAAATGTAAATGCTGCCATTTTACACAAAATGAATTTTCCACCTGAAGTTTAAGTTTGAATTGAACAGTGTGCTTTGTTTACTAAGTTTTAGGTCATTGACTTCAAAGTTTTATTCTCAACAGCTTTATTTTGGCTGTTGTTGCATAATCATGTAGTATGACCAAATTTTATTTGATTAATAGGTCAAAGTGGAACCATGTTTATTCTAACTTTTGGCATCAATTACATAAGTGTGGAAAATATGATATCAAGTTAGCTTTCTTCTGAAGTTCACATAGGTAGATTATTTGTCTCCGATTTACTAATTTCCAAACTGAGAGAGAGAAAAAGGTGAAATTGCAAGATGTAAATGGTACATTTGTCCAGTGAATATTTTACATGCAGCATTGGCAATATCTAGATATTTATCTGCATTTTCTCTAATTTAAAGATGGTTATAATTACATAAGTAAAACAGTTTGTCTGAACACATGTATTTAATTCACACTTCATCTTTTTTTAATTTAATAAAGAACAGCGAAATAATTTGATAACAATTTTCTGATTAGTCTATCATTTTAACCAATACCTAATTTATTACTACTTTTAAAAAATGATGATCTTATGAGGATATTTTTTGAAAAATTTGGTAATTAAGTTTCAGCTTGTTTAAAATATTTTCTTTGCAAGTAACAACAATTTCTTCTGGCTAACTTAAGCAGAGGGGGATGTATTGGAAGGATGGAAGGAACTTGCAGAATTGATTAAAAAGTCTTGAGAAGCAGGTATAGAAATGTGTAGGAAGCGAGGGACCACTGCAGAGTCTATTGAGGAGAGAGGAACTACAAATGAGGAAAGAAACAAATGGGCATATCACTTAAAATAGTGATAAAGTGCTGTGACATTTTATGAAGAAAATTTCTCTCCTCTAAGAATAACAGTACTCTGCTACCTGTTGTCCAATGTCTGAAAACCACTGTTTCATGTATTTTGACCAGAGTTCTATTTATTTAAGGCAAGAGGATAAATCTCATCCCTGTTACTCCATCTTAGCCCAAATTGAAAGTCCCAATATTTTTTTCTATTGATATTGAAAGTAGTTTTATTTGTTTTGCATAGCTTATGGAATTATTTTAAGCGTCAAATTAGGTAATATATATATTTCAAAAATCTAAATTAGTTATAAAATATTGTATATATTTGAAAATATAAAAGTGGTTTCCTTACGCAAAGTAATTGTAAAGGTTTGTCTAAAGGACTCACTTTTTCGTGAAAAAGTATTATTTAAACAAAGGTATTACAATTTTTTTCATTGATTATAAGCTTCATGCTCAGAATTTCTATTAAAGGGCATATAATTTTATTTTATCATAGCTTGTGGTAAACATTAAATAGATGTCTATTTCCTTCAGCCATTTCAGACCAGTGTAATCCTTTGCCATGCAATGAAGATGGATATATGAGCTGCAAAGATGGCCAAGCTAAATTCACTTGCATTTGTAAATCAGGTTGGCACGGAGAGAAGTGTGAATTTGGTATGTATAATAAACCCACCTGGCTTATCTTGATTGACCTGAACAGTTTTTTGAAGGCTTTATCACTTTAAAAATAATTTATTTTCCCCCTTCTTTTAGATATAAATGAATGCAAAGATCCTTCAAATATAAATGGAGGTTGCAGTCAGATTTGTGACAATATACCTGGAAGTTACCAGTGTTCCTGTAAAAGTGGTTTTATTATGCTTTCAAATAAAAAGGACTGCAAAGGTAAGAGCAAGAGGGGAGGATAAAAAGATATTTAGTGTGTGAGAGCAAAATTCAGTTAGAGAAATTTCCCCAGGAAATTCTTGGAAAATTTCTTGGTTATTAGTTGTTATAATACATACACATTAGTATCCACTTTAAAGCCTTATGATATTATGAGAATGCCTTTTAGTTTGTTGTTTTTAGGGTATTTTGTTATTTATATTGTTTTCTTATTGTATTTTATTATTTATAGGGTATTTCATGGTTTTCTTATTGTATATATATATATGTGTGTACATATTCATGAGCACATTTTAATATAGAATCTCACTATATGGTGATAAAGTTTCAGTGTAAGTCCTTGCATACTATGGTGTTTGCTAAATTGTTGTTTGTACTTTTTTCTAGATACTATAATATGATTTCCTTTATTCTAATAAGAAAAAAAACTCTACAAAGAAGTCCAGCACAATCTTAATAACTTTGTCATTGTATTTTATATCTCCTTATCAGAAATGCTTTTCTAATTTCCAATATAAACCCATCATCTTGCACCTCATTTTCTCATGTAGTTTTGGGAAAAGCGAAGATCTGGTTTTGTTTCTTTTTATACATCTAAGATCAGATCATTGGTCATAACCCATTTTTTTTTTATTTCAGACTTAAATAACTCCTGTCAATTTACCTTTTTTAACATTTTACTAGGATATTTCTTTTGTTTTTCTTTTTGCTTCTCTTTCCCCCAGATTTTAATTTTTTCCTTTCTGCGTAATGTCTTTTCCATTAAACTGCCTTAACAGCCATAACTAAATCTTCAAATGTAATTGCTTGGTGTGTGGATGACTAAAAATGAGATTTTTCAGCCTGGAGTTAAATTTTGCATTTAGAAACTGAGAGTGAGGTTTTCTTTCTTTTCCTTCATTCTTCCCTCTCTCTCTATTTTCTCTCCTTCCTCCCTCCTCCCCTCTTTCTCTTTCTTTTTTCCTCCTCATTCCCATCCTTCTCCTTGCTATGAGGTAAAAAAAAAAAAAAAAATTAGAAAGTTAAAATGTAAATTTTTCTTGTTCAACTAAATTTATATCTGCTTTGGTAAATCCCCAGATTGAATTCACAGTCAAGGAAGGGATGGTCTGTCCCTCACTGCACTGTGGTGTTTAAAACAGAATAGTTTACTGTAATAGTATTTAAAGTGCAGCTAAATGACTAAAGTGAGCTGTATTAACTAACAATTTCTTCTAAACATATATCTAATTTGTGACCATCTATCTTTCTTGTTTGCCTATTGGAAGGTCTGTTTGTTGTTAGAAATTTAGAATACAAACATCATTAGCACACCAGTTATAGAAAACCATCATAATGTAGGATACCATATGTATCCCGTAAGGAAGTAATACCGACTCATACTTCTTCATTTAAATACTTGAGTAGTCTGTCCTTCTAAAGAATTTGTGACTTATATTTTTAATTTAAAATTATTTAACTTTATCCATTGAATTTATACATATACATGTAAATTATTACAAAAAGTACTCATAAATAAGAATATCTCTGACCAGAACATATGATCTTGTATACTTCATTTACAATTTTTTTATGCATGATACCTAAATGATAGAGTACAGAACTATTAGAAAAACGTGTATACAACTATTACAATAGGGCCTGTGCCAAGATGTGGATATGCTTGGCAAGATCAAGTTGCCAGTAAATGTTTAAAAATATAAGAATAAATCTATTCATCAGTCATTAGATGTCAGTGTAGAGTCATAAAATCAACGTGCTATAACCTGAACTCATATGATTTAAATAATTCCTTGTAATACGCCTCAGACTAAATAATTTAGACATATGTTTTTACTTTCTTTTAAAAATATAGATTTTATAGCTCTTTAAAAATATTATTTTATTTTGAAGTAATTGTATATTCACATGCTGTTTTAAGAAATAATAAAAAGAGATTCCCACGTATCCTTTACCTAGTTTTCTCCTATAGTAACATTTTACAAAACTATAGTACATTATCACACCCAGGATACTGACACTCATACACTTAAGATATAGAAAAATCCCCTTACCATATGGTATTATTTTTGTGCATGTGATTTTAAATAATGTCTAAAAGTTTGGCCATTAGTCTGTGGAAAAACTAAACTCTCAACTTTTTAGAGTAGAAAATATATTTTCCATTTTGAACTTGCCTTTCTCCAGACAGTACAAATGAGAAAAGTTCACTAATAATTACATCTTCATTGAACTCTTTCTGTCACTTGTTTTTTTTTCACAGATGTTTATCTAGTAACTAGTTGCAATCAATGCTTTGTTTCCTACTTTACTATGTAATATAATAAATACTTATGAAATTTCCAGACTATTGATTTAGCATTAAAATTTGTATTGGATTAATTACAGTTTTATAAATACTTTGAGATATTACTCAATCTCATTTTAAATATGAATCACTCTTGAATACTTTAGGCAACAATAATGGTATGTAGATTTAGCTATTGTTCATTTCCAAGGGAAAAATGTAAGACTGATGAGTCTTCTCATTTTTATTTTTTATATTTGTGATAATACAAAGTAAATATACTTTTAAGACTATATTTCAGAAATAGGTATTTAGGAATACATGTTAAGAATACAGTGAGTCTACGGCCATGCTACCCTGAACAAGCCCGATCCATCTGATCTTGGAAGCTAAGCAGGGGCGGGCCTGGTTAGTACTTGCATGGGAGACCACCTGGGAAGACCAGGTGCTATAGGGGTAAAAAATAAGGGATTGTAAGCTGACAAGATCCTTGCAATCTGTGAGGTCATCCAAGGGTTGCCTTGCCTTAAAAAAAGAAAAAAAGAATACAGTGAATCTCTTATTTATTTTCATACTATAATCTGATAGATAATAAATAACTAAAGTCCTCTCTTTCTTTTACAGAACTACAAAGGAACATGGCAAAAGTCAATCAAATTCTTTTTGCATTTGTATAAAGAAATCATATTTAATGAACTAAAATATGATGATAGATTTAATATTTTGTTATTCCCAGGCCACTCTGTTGTCTTATTTCATATATTAAACTAGATCCAGGAAACACAGATCAAGGGTTCTTTGCTAGCATCTTCTGGTATGGGAAAAATGTTTCTTATTTTATTGGTTTCATTTTTAGATGTGGATGAATGCTCTGTGAAGCCAGGCATTTGTGGCACAGCTGTGTGCAAGAACATGCCAGGAGATTTTGAATGTGAATGTCCTGAAGGCTACAGATTCAATCTCACAACAAAGTCTTGTGAAGGTGAAGTTGTGGTGGTTTCATTGTTGACGGTGGAGAGGAGGGTGGGCTTGAACCCTGATTTGATATTAGAAGCATTGGTTCTGTTTGACATCAACTATCAGATTTTCTAAGATGGTAAAATCCATATATAGTTTGGTCAATTGGATAGTCATTGGCTTCTTTCCAGAATAAAAGTATGTAAGACACATGGTCTTTAGATTTAGTGTTATGAGCTCTGATTGGCCCTCTAAGGTATTGTGGATTGGCAATCTCCCAAGTATGGTGAAAGCAAAATAAACACATTTTCACATGATTTAAATAATGTTGGAAGATAAAAAGAATTTCAAGCTGGAAGGAAACACACACACACAAAAAGAAAAACAAGTTTAAAAATCACGTGAGTGTTACAACAAGGGTGGTTAGAAACCTTTGATTTTATACCAAACTTATCAATGATTTTGTGTATGTATCATTATATCATTTATTAGAAAATGACTTAGTTCTATTGTCATTAAATACATATAAAAGAAACCAAATGATAGGTGAGCTCCAGAAATTAGAGTATTGATTAGTAATGTTAACACCCATGGATCAGGGCAAGGCCTTGAACTTGCTCTTACTTCATTTGGCTACCGTGGTGCTGCCATTTGTGTCTTTGGTAGCTTAGATGTATTAGGGGATTTACTTTCTATCATGGATGTATTTTTTTTTTTAATTTCAAAGTGAATTTAATACGATGACTAAAACTAACCAAACCAATACTAATTTTTCTATTGTGGCAAACTGTATGTAAGATATAATGTGTCCCTTTAACCATTTTTAAGTGTACAATTCAGTGGTATTAATTACATTTCAAATAGTTACTCAGCCATTACTTCTATCTGTTTCAAACCTTTTTCTTCACTCCAAACAGAACTCTGTAACCATTAGCAATAAATTGCCTCTCCTCTCTCTCCCAACCCCCTGGAAACCTCTAATCTACTTTCCATCTCTATGAATTCGCCTAAATCAGTAATAATTTTAGAATAGTTTTTTTAAATGTATATACTCCTCTTGAGATTTTGATGCCATACTTCCTCATGCGCTCACCGAAAATCCACCCCGACACATACCATATCTACTCTCACACCACTCCAGACAGAAATTACAATGGTAAGCCCTAAGCATTTGTAGGTTTATTATTAGCTAGCCAACTTCATCTCTATTGTAGTTTTATGCAATGTATGACAGATTTTTTATAAAAAAATTTATATTACATATATTTTATTACTTAAATCATATATTATTCAATTTTAGTGGTATGGAGGGATCACTAATTTGGGAGTTCTATTTTAATACATTTTATTGTGGGATTTATATGCTGTAATAGCACTTAGGAAATTGGTGATTTTCAAAGACCATGGGGTGCACTCATTCAAAAGTTCAAGGATCTTAGTAGCTCTGAAGTGGACTTTAGCTTAAGTGTATTATTACAACTTTCAAGAATTATTTTCTCAAAATATGGAGTGAGATCAGAGACCACATAGAAAATTTCACAATACGGGAGGTAATATAGCACAGAGGTGTTTTTTTTAAAGGTAAGTTAACAAGAAATAAAGATAGATTCTTAAATTTATTCCCACATTTATAAATCATTAATCATTGCATTACAAAAAGTCAAATATTTTTTGATATTGTCATTTAATCTTTAATTATGTTGATCTTCAGTTAAAAGAGATCTTTTCTTCCTTATCCTCTCCTCCTCTCCCCTCCCTTTCTTTCTCCCTTCTCTTCTCTTCCTTTTCCTCAAAGCAAAGAATTGGGAGGTAGTCTCAATGGAATTGTATAACCAGAAATGGCAACTAACTTGAGACTCTCAATCTTTTTTCCTTCAAATTCAAAATCAGGAAATTAGTATACTTGTTATTTTTTATTAATTATAATTAATGACATAGATACATTAAATTTGTTGTTAATAAATAGAAATTGTTATTTCTATTTATTACAGGTGTGTAAATAAATAGAAATTACACTGATAACTCATATAAATTTTCATGCCAAGTGTTTAAATGCAATTTGATATCATAGAGATTTCTTTCACTAAGGATCTACTATGATTGATATTTCGAATTAAAATCAGAATATTTCTTCTTTTGGATTGAAAATTTAGAAAATATTAACATTTATGTTCTCTTTTACTCCAGATGTGGATGAATGCTCTGAGAACATATGTGCTCAGCTTTGTGTTAATTACCCTGGAGGTTATTCTTGTTATTGTGATGGGAAAAAAGGATTCAAACTTGCAAAAGATCAGAAGAGTTGTGAGGTAACATTTTGCAATGCTAAACTTCCCATCTCTTTTCTAAGAGATTCTGGTACTTATTTCCCCGTAGTTGTAGTAAGTCAGGAAAGTACAGATGTCCTACAAGAATTGCTATAGTTTCATGTTAGCCGTGAGTCACAATCTATTTATTAATTGGTCACGTAAGTCGTAAACACTGGGAATGAGCTGCTGGGTTAAAAAAAAAATGGCTGCAGGGTCATAGTTCAGAGAGTGCTCATATGTATAGCGTGTATATTTACAAAATACAAAAATGTTTTCTTTTTTAAAGAAACTTAAGGAAAGCTGAAGTTTATACTCCACTGTGAGAAAAAAAAAATCTTCAATAGAAACTTGAGTGAAAACATTTTCCAGTGTCTACTTTTCTTTATTCCCCATTCTGACAAGTTTGATCACGCCTTAGGCATGTTAGTACTTGCAGGAGTCCTCATAACATCTCAGGTAGAAACAACTTTGTCAGAATAGAAGATTTAGTGATGTTTACTTAGATCAGATTTCAGAGAGGTTAATTTTGTTAATCTGTGTTTCTGAAACTTGCTTTTAGTTACTCAGATTTAACACATAATCGACCTAGAAATCAAATGTTGAGGGTAGGTTCTAGTTTTTACTATATTGAAATAAATAGATCAACCTCAAGCTATTTTTTTTTCCTAAATAAAGATCTCGTGTTAATGATCCTTAGTCCAATTCTAGCATTTCTTTTACTTTTTCGCAAGTGAAAGTGACATTTTTATATGATGATGAGACAAACAGTATTATCAAGACAAAGCCGTATATGTCCAAAAAATGTAGCATTCAATATTTACCATCTACTTGGTAAAAGAATATGAAGTATGCTAGTTGGCGTACGTAGTAACTTTAGTAGTACTTAATTGAAATGCCATGCTGTGCAAATGTCTATTTTGTAATTCACTCTCTTATTATTTCAGTATGTGTTGTAGTTACTTATCACCATCCACCTTGGAATAGATTTATTAAAGTTGTAAGAGGAAATGAAATGTTATTTCTGGACCTAGATTTAATACAGTGCTATGTACATGGTTCCTTCCAAAATATCCCTATATATATGCCTAAGAATTTATCCTTAGGAGGCTTTCCATTTTAATGTTTATTTTCACTCTTAGAAAAAAAGTACTTGATATCAAATTTAATGACTCTAAATCACTTTTTTGTAGCTTCCTTGGAGACTAGGTTGATATTTTTATTTATTTCTTTCAAGTTTTCCAGTATTCCCTTTACTATCTAGAGAGGACAATTTTTGCTCAGAAAATTTTTGCTTAATAATGAATGAGTGAATGAATGAGGTGCTATTTATTGGTACCTTAATTTTCCCTATTTCTGACTCTAAATAAAAATAATTTTTAGATATAATTCATATAAAGTATCATACCTATACCAATTAATTAAGGGGATACATTTTGTTACTAGAAGAAAAAGTTTATATTTCAAATTGAGATTTACAAAGGAAATAATAAAGACAAAAATCTGAGGCCACACACATTGAACAAGATTTTAAAACACACATATTCTTGGAGGTTATACTGATGGACTATTCAAGGAAGTGAAAGATACTGCTTTATTATTACCAAGGTGTTCTTAATTTATCTTAGTGTATGACAGAGGATACCTTTGACAAGAACACTAGGAACCAGAGAAAGGATGCATAAACTGACAAAAACACCAAGCAATAAACTGTGTGTTTTTCTACCCCCGCAGGCTGTTCCAGTATGCCTTCCCTTGAACCTTGACAAAAATTATGAACTACTTTATTTAGCAGAGCAGTTTGTTGGGGTTGTTTTATATGTAAAATTTCGCTTGCCAGATGTCAACAGGTGAGGAACGAGTGTCAATGATAATTTCTAGAGGTAAGCAGGTTAAGACAGAAGAAGGAAGTGGCTGAACGGTTTGAAATGTATGAAGTTGCGTTATAAATCAGATAATGTAGGTATATTATCAATCAGATGACATGGGGAACCCTAAGGTAAATTTGTTCCTTCACACGTGTCATTTTCATGCTAGAAACAATTGAGGTCATTCAAGGCTGACCTTCCCCAGTGATCAGTTTTACCTTATTCTTTCATTCTTTCTTTTCTAGTGAACTCATATTTATTAAGAAGATGTGAAGGTAGATTTAATATATGTGTAAAAAATTTTATTCTTTTTTGTACATGTTAAAAACTAGCAAGAAAATACTCAAAGTATTTCTTTTAAGTATGGTTATATTCACAATTAAGGAAAATTCATAAGACTGCTTAAGTGCATTTAAAGAAATGCATCACATGATTTTAGCAGACTGAGTACATTATCTGCTATTCCTGTAGTTAGGTTGACTATAGGGAGGGAGTATTTGCTTATGGTTTTGAGTCATGATTCTAATTTATCAAATTTTCTCAGAGCCATAAAATTTGAAAAAAGAAATTGGAGTTTCGTTAAAATAATGGAAGGAAACATCTTTAAGACTGATTACAGAGTTCAAGTTTTAAATATTTTAATTGAATAAACATGCATATTTAGAATTTAATTCATTGGATATATGAATGATTATTCATTAAATATAAATTCATGGAAATTTTAGCATTATTCAAAGATTCATTGATATAATTATGCTTCTTCAACACTCCATTTTCCACTAAGACCTGGTTTTTCCCTTTTACATCTCAGAGTAAATAATATCTTCTAGTGTTATAGATTGGAGACAACCATTCCTTGCAATGAGGATAATGAGAATAAGAGAGGAAAAAATAATTATTGCATGCCTTCAGGCATGTTCAGAGGTATTCATTTCTCAGAGACAATTCACAATAGCTTGGGCTCTAACATTGGATCAAATTGGCCAAATATTTATTCTTCTTAGTATTTTATTGTTTAGTTATTTCATTGCCTAGTTTAATATATACAGAAATGTACACGTCTTAAATGTACAGCTTAATGAATTTTTATAAACTGCCACCCGTATAACCAACAAAGAACAGCCAGTGCTTTGTCATATTTTTTTTTTACATATTCTTTCAGCTCTGTTTCCCATGATCAAATGTTTATCCTACCCAAAAGTTAACAAATTCACTCTTTTTTTCACTCTACAGTACTTCTGAAAAAGAATGAATTGTACCCCAGTGTAATGAGTCAGTATTCTGATGTATTCCAGAAAGAAAATATGCAGAACATGATTCTTTGAATTACTGGTTTAGCATGATTTTACAAAGAGAAGGAAATTATTTCCATAATAAGATCAACTTCTGGAAGATTCTGAGCATACACAGATATCTGTTTTGGCAAGATAACACATGCTTCACATCAGCAAAATGTGATGATTGTGAAAGAGAATATAAGACCATATTCTAAGCAAAAAATTTCTACTACATTGTTATCCATCCAAGACAACACCACATTTACCTGTTTAGAATATTTCTATGGAATTCTAAGATTAAAAAGTATATTCTATCACCTTTCCTTTATTCCATTTGAGGCAGATCTGAGCCCTATTGCAAATAGTGCCTCGATTGCTATTACTAGTATAAGTGGGGATAAGAGTTTGGAGTTCTTTGCCTTATTTAGCAATTATCTGAAGGACTGACATTTTAGATTATTTTAATTTAACTCAGATGACTAATAGTCATACAACTATTTTTCCAATTTTTCAATCATTTGATTTGTTGGTCCTTTAAACTTTATTGCAGATTTTCATTAAAATGTTCTAAGGGCACTGAATCAGTACATGTTATTTTTAAATATAGTATCCTTAAGATTTTTCCTCCCTTGTAATAGCTACATATATGTCCAGAATCTTAATAGCAATAGGCATTTACAGAGCTCATATACACCCAAACGCAGAGCTAGACTATATCTTTTTTATTTTAGGTAAAATTGGTATATAACATTATATAAGTTACAGTAACATTATATAAGTAATATTATAATTCAACATAAGTATACACTACAAAGTGATGGTCACCAAAAGTGTAGTTACCAGCCTTCACCGTACAATTAACCCCCTTCATCCTTTTCACCCAACTCCCAACTCCCTTCCCCTCTGGTGCCACCAACCTATTCTCTGTATCTGTGAGTTTATTTTGTTTTGTTTAGGATTCCATATATGGGTGAAATACAATATTTGTCTTTCTCATCTAACTTATTTCACTAAGCATAATATCCTTGAGGTCCATCCATGTTGTCATAAATAGAAAGATTTCATTCTTTTTTTTATGGCAGGGTAGTATTCCAGTGGGGTGTGTGTGTGTGTGTGTGTGTGTGTGTGTGTGTGTGTGTGTGAGAAAGAGAGAGAGAGAGAGAAGTCTTTATCCATTCATCCATTAATGGAAAATTAGGTTGTATTTTATATTGTGGCTATTGTAAATAATACTGCAATGAACATAGGGGTACATTTATCTTTTCCAAATTAATGTTTTTGTATTATTCAGAGAAATACCCAGTAGTGGAATAGCTAGAACATATGGTAGTTCTTTTCTTAATTTTTGAGGAATCTCCATATTCTTTTTCATACCGGCGCATCAATTTATATTCCTACCAAAAGTGTATGTGGGTTTCCTTTTCTCCATATCCTGTACGATATTTTTTGTTTCTTGTCTTTTTGATAACATCAGCCCTAAAAGGCGTGAGGTAATATCTCATTGTGGTTTTGAATTGTATCTTTCAAATAATTAGTGAAGTTGAACATCTTTTCATATGCCTGTTGGCTATCTGTTTATCTTCTTTAAAAAACTGCCTATTCAGATCCTCTGCCCACTTTTTAATCCGATTGTTTTTTTTTTGTTCTTTTTGAGTTGTATGAGTTCTTTGTATGTTTCAGATATTAATCCCTGTGTAGAAACTTTTTACTTTTATGTAGTCTATTTGTTTATTTTTGCTTCTGTTTCTCTTGCCTTTGGAGTCAGGTCCATGAAACATCGCTAAGACTAATGTGAGTTTATCTCCTATATTTTCTTCTATGTATTTTATAGTTGCAGGTCTTGCATTCAAGTTTTTAATCCATTTTGAGTTAATTTTTGTGTATGGTGTGAGATAGTGCTCTAGTTTCATTCTTTTGCATAGGGCTGTCCACTTTTCCCAACATCATTAGTGAAGAGACTGCCCTTTCTCCATTATATGCTCTTGATTCCTTTGTCATAAATTAGTTGTCCATACGTGTGGGTTCATTTCTGGGCTCTCAGTTCTGTTCCACTGATCTGTAAGTCTGTTTTTATGCTAATATTATACCATTTTGATCACTATAGCTTTTAGTATAGTTTGAAATCAGGGAGCATGATACCTCCAGCTTTGTTCTTTCTCAAGATTGCTTTGGTTATTCAGGATATTCTGTGGTTCCATACAAATTTTGGAATTATTTGTTCTAGTTCTGTGAAAAAGCCATTGGAATTTTGATAGGGATTGCATTGAATCTGCAGATTGCATAGATAGTGTAGCCATTTCAATAATATCAATTTTTCCAATCTATGAGCACAAAATGTTTTTCCACCTATATGTATCTTCTTTAATTTTTTTAATCAGTGTCTTATAGTTTTCATTGTACAAGTCTTTTCACCTTCTTGGTTAAATTTATTCTTAGGTATTTTATTCTTTTTGATGCAATTTTAAGTGGGATTGTTTTTTAATTTCTTCTTCTGATAATTCATTAGTATATAGAAACACCACAGGTTTCTGTATATTGATTATTTTTTTAAATTATGGTGACATTGGTGAACAAAATCCAGTAAGTCACAAGTTTACAATTCAACAGTAAGTCGTATATATTTTAGATTGTATGTTTGCAGTGTATGTCCACATACATTGTATGTATATTGACTTTGTGTCCTACAACTTTTCACTTATTCTAACAGTTTTTGGTGAAGTCATTAGGGTTTTCTATATATATTACCATGGCATCTGCAAATAGTGAAAGTTTTATTTCTTTCTTTCCAATTTGAATGCTTTTTATTTCTTTCTGTAGCCTAATTTCTGGGGCTAGGACTTCCAATACTTTGTTGAATAAAAGTGGTGAGAATGAACATCTTTGTCTTATTCCTGATCTTCGAGGAAAAGCTTTTACATTTTCCCCAGTGAATATGTTAGCTGTTTGTTTGTTATATATGGCTTTTATTATGTTGAGGTACATTCTCTTTAAACTCTCTGTTGAGAGTTTTTATCATAAAATGGATGTTGAATTTTGTCAGACGTTTTTTCTGCATTTATTGAGACAAACATATGATTTTTATCCTTTATTTTGTTAATGTGGTATATCACATATGATTTGTGGATGTTGGACCTTGCATCCCTGGAATAAATCCTACTTGATCATGGTGTATGTTCCTTTTAATGTATTGTTGAATTTGTTTGCTAATATTAGATTATATCTTTTAATCATCAATTTGGAATTTCATATGATCAGGATAAATAAACTTTAACTGAGATTTGCAACATTTTAGTACAAAAGAGACACTGAACTTTAATTGAACGTTTTTTCTGCATTTATTGAGACAAACATATGATTTTTATCCTTTATTTTGTTAATGTGGTATATCACATATGATTTGTGGATGTTGGACCTTGCATCCCTGGAATAAATCCTACTTGATCATGGTGTATGTTCCTTTTAATGTATTGTTGAATTTGTTTGCTAATATTAGATTATATCTTTTAAGCTCCCCTTCCGTGTATTCTAGAATAGTGATTTATGAAGTTAGAGTTTGGGGGAGCTTTTGAAATCAAGCTAAAAAGACATTTTAAAGTTTTTATTTTACCTTTTCTACTGCATATGAAGGCTTAATTATTTTTGCTATCATCCAGATGCTGTCTTGTATATCTGTGAGTGATTTCTTCCTGACATATGAAATCATAAGAAAAGTATGCTTTATGATGCATAAACCAATCATGAAATTCTAATATATTTTACTAATGATTTACAGACACAGCAAAAAAACAAAAAAATTCTTAATGTCATTATATAGTGTATAAAAGGGTCCAGGAGAGATACAATATGCCTAATATTTGTACATGTATATTCCAAAATTTGAAAGAATGCCTTCAAAACAAATGCCAAAAAAGATGAAAAATTACCAGAGCATCTCTTCACCGGGAAAAAGACTGCAAAAAAAAGCAAGAAAATATAATAACTTGATTTTAAACATACATGGAGCCAGAGATAATACACATACAGTCTAATTCTGTCCTTCTCTTTTATTAGTTCCAGGGACAGAAATAGTTGACTCTTTCAACATATTGCTGTTTGCCAGCACAAGAAAAAAAAAGGAATAATACATCGAGCCTTCTATATTTTTCACTATTAAGGCTCTGTCTTTGTCCATTGTTTAGGTTTTCAGCCAAATTTGATTTCCGGACGTATGATTCAGAAGGTGTTATCCTGTATGCAGAATCTCTTGATCATTCAGCTTGGTTCCTGATTGCACTTCGTGATGGAAAGATTGAAATTCAGTTTAAGAACGAATATACAACCCAAATTACAACTGGAGGCAAAGTTATTAATAATGGTCTGTGGAATATGGTATGTTGTGCAGATTTCATCAAGAATCTTTCCACTTTTATGCAGTTTGTATAAAATCATTAGTAATTTATTTTTCTAGTGATAACAAACCTAAATGGGTTGGGTTTAATCTGATGTTGTATGAAGTATATTCTATGTACTGTTAATTCATGAAACAGCCTGCGAAAGAGTAACCTTAATATATTTAGGATTTCTCTGAAGTTGTTTTCAGTATTTGTTTGAACTATTCTGTTTTTAACTTCTTACCTTTTTTTAGTGACTGTCGCTGGGTGAACAGTGATTCTATAGGTCAGGGATTATCAGTTTTTGCGAAGACACTACAGATCAAGGACAACTATACTGGATTTTTTAAATGAAAGAGAAATGCACAGGAACAAAATCAAAGTTAATTCAGTTTTAAATATTAGCATATAGATAATCAAATTATAAAACAGTATACATTAGCCAGTAGTAGAGTGCCTAGAAACTAGCATTTTTAGATTATCCCTAAAAATGAGCCTTTGTTGTAATGATCAAGAAAAACATTTTCCGTTTTAAACTGTGTTAAAACGGAACTTTTCATGGAAAAGGGATTATCTGGCAGAGGATAGCTGAGAGATCAGCTTCACCTTAGAATGTGGTACCCGAAAGAGAAACTTTCTATGCCTGTGGGAGTTGATGAGAAGTCCATGTAGAGAAGCCATATGAAGTCATCACTGACTTTATTTACCCACTCATGCACTCATATATTCAATAAGCCTTTAGTGAGCACTTTTAAAGTGTTAAGTTCCTGAGCTCAAGGCACTAGAGCTATAGAAAAGGTTTTCCTTGCACTTGAGCTTAGTACTTCAAAGTTTAGTAGCTGATGCTGCCTTATGAACTAGTACAATGTAATGTGAAATATGTTACAGTAGAGGTAGTAATAAAGTACAGTTAGGCACAGATGTGGTTCACCAAAAAAGGGGCTATCTGCCTTTTTTTTTTTTTTTTTTTTTTTTTGTTTTTTTTTTTTTTGGTCAGACTTTCATATTTTATTAAGAAACATTTTTATTTTAAATAATGGTATGAAAATTGTATATATAATACAGATCTGTATAGGTATATATATACACACAAATGCTCTTTCACACACACATACACACAAATTTGCTTATCAGAATCAAACTCTATTATATTAAAACTCTAAATAAAAAAGAGAAGTATATTTAAGTTTTCCTAAAACGCTGTACATAAAGTTGTCAGACAACCTGAAAAACAGGACATTTTGAGAAGCATCTAGGCACTCTGCCTGCACTCTTTCACTCCCCACCTCCCTCCACTTCATCACCCCCTCCCACTCCAACTGAAGGAGGTATAGATTTTGTGTCCTAACTTGAAAAGGATACTGTCTGCACAGGATCAGATGCAACTGTCATAGAATCACTAAAATTCTCTGATTTCTCCTGATGTTGTTATTAGATGCTTTGCTACTATGTCTTTCCTAATATATCTATATCTAGAATATTTGATGCATACAGCTGAAAAATACATTTTACTGCCTAATATCACAAAGTAGTCTAAAATCACTAAAATCATTTTTTCAGTAAAAGAGAGCCAATACAATTTGTTCTCAATGAGTCTATACGAATTGAAAATATCAGCTGTTTGTAGTAGAATTTAGATAAATGTCTGCGTAGGCTGTAATATGTATAATGAAGAAGGCAAATGCTTACCTGTGAGGTTAACATCATGAGTTGCAGATTGTGTGTATTAAAGAATTGTATATGAATGATGATACTGTTAAAGGCAAGATTCTGGCCTGGATCGAAGGCAGCTATACAATTCCATACATTTTGTTTCCTATGTTTATGATCCTTGTTAAAAAAACAAACAAACAAACAAAACTATTATTTAATGATATATTATAGTTTAATTAAATCATTTTAATGAAAATCTCCCTTTATAGGCTGAATGCAATTTTACATACAATTTAAAAACAAAAAACAAGTCAGAGAAAATTCTACTTTAATCTGGTAATAAATTTGGTGCTATTGGTTTTTCTTAACTTCTTAATTCGATATTTTAACAATTATGAATGTTTATCACCCTCCCATGTAAGTAAGGTTTCTTTTCTCACTCCATATTTTTTATTTTAAAAATATTACCACATGATATTTTACCAGTTTATGACCTTGATGGCTTATTAATAAATTATACTATTTTAAGCTAATTTATGCAGCACAGGAATTACTTCAAATACATAAAAATTTTAAGTAAGCATTTTAATCAATAAAGTTGTTAAGTTAAATTAATCTATAAACTGGACTGTTTATTTGATAGAAATTGTTTCACTAATTTTAAATTATTTTAAAATTTCAAGTAAAATACTTTAAAAATAAAGTGTTAAAATTAAAATGTATACCTTAGAATTATTTTGTAAATCTGATAAATAGAATATGTAATTATTAAGTATTTAGAATGACTATAACCCATAGACATAAATATTCTTTTTTTATAAGTGATTATATCTCATATTTGAGTTTAATCCTAATATTGATGGGAAATCTATAATTTGTATCATAATTTCATTCATTCAACAAAATATTCGTTGAGCACTTTATGTGCTATTCTTTATTCTAGGTGGTAAGAACACAAAAGTAAATAAAACAAAGTCACTGCTCTTATGGAACTTGCATTCTAGTGATGAGATAAAAACCACAAATGAGTGAACAAATAGATATGTCAGATAGCGATCAATGATAGGAGTAAAAAAGAAAAACAAGACCAGGCAATAGACAGTGATGATGGTGGGTGTGCATATGGAATCAGGAAAGCTAACTCTGATGAGATTATATGTGACCAGAGACTTAAGTGCACAAGTCATGAAAAATATATTGGGGGAGATGATTCTGTGCCACATGAACAGCAAGTACAAAGTCTTAGGCAAGAGGATATTTGTTGTGTTTTAGGAACAACACAGAGGTCAGTGTAGAGGTGGTGGAGTGACAGAGGGAGAGAGTCGTAGGAAATGAGTTCAGAAATGTGATCTGGAATAACACAATGTGAGGCCTTGAGGAACATAGTGAGGGCTTGGATTTTATGCTAAATAGAAAGATCTTGGATGATTTTGAGATGTGACATGATCTAATTTTCATTTTAAAAGATAATCTTGGTCAAGATCTCGTGACTATATGAAAACTAGATAGTAGAGAGTAAAAGTAGAACAGATTGTGGGGTGTGGAGACCATTGCAATAACCCAGTAGAGAGAAGATGGCAACTTTGGCTAAAGTGTTGATGGTGAGAGTAGTGAGAAGTGATCAGATTCTAGACATATTTTTAAGTTCAGGCCTTCAAGGTAGATATAAACTTTTGAGTATTCAGCATAAAGAGATTAAAAGGCCATGAGACTGGGTATGTAACCTGTGGTTCTAAACTCTGTCTCATTCAATGCCCAAATAGTTATATTGTTCCTTTACTGTCCGATAATGAAATGCATCAATAATGTAAGCTTCCTTCACATGTCCCAAATAGAAACAAATAGAATGGTCCAATTATTATATAAATGAAGGAAAGTAATTTATAATAAAATTATATATATTTCAAAATGTGCATGTTCAAGTACAAGTATAATACTTACCAAATCTTTCTCCTATACATATAATAACATGAAAACTACAAATGAAGAATTATCTTAGGTGCTGTTTGGCAACTCAAATACCTTAAGTGTGTAAAGGGTATTGTCATCAGTAATAGTAATTTCCCCAAATGGTGAGAAACTCGTGGTAAAGATCCAAACAAACACCAATCCATCCTTAGTTTACAAGACCGTTACATTCTCCAAAAATTCAGTGAATACTAAAATGGTACAACAAATATTTTGTGTTTATATGTGCACAAACCAAAATAATGATAAGCATGAGTATACTGTACATGAATATCCAGTAGGGATGTTCAGAAGGTTTGCAGGATATTGGATATTTTATTATTTATTTTGCTCAACTATCCTGCAGATTTCAGAGTGTCTGGCATCTTGCAGTGTCAGCGTAAAACCTTATTGTGACAACTAAAATGTCCCCCAACCCCAAATTTTCCAAATGCCCTAGAGTGGGGCAATAGGGTGCCCATTTAGTAATACTTGTATGATGGCTAAAGGGAAAAGGTCTGGAGGTTGAGTTCGGGCTCATTGTAGAGATTGAGAAGAGGCTCCAGCCAGGAGATTGAGAAGGAATGGTAGGAATGTAGGAGAATGAAGCCAGACTAAGATCAGTCAAGGAGGGAATAGTCATTAGGGTAAAATGCTGTGATTAACCACACTTAGGACGATGTATACACTGACTAAATCTTAAATGTTACCAAATTTATTTTACTTTAGAGCATAGTTTTCTCTTCCTGCAGTGGTGCTTTAATGTGCCTATTGCTTGTCTTCTGTTAGTGATTAATATATGAAGAGTTTGCATTTTAAGTGCTACAGTTTTACATGAGATTTCAACAATTGTTCTTCAAACTGTCTTTATAAAAGGAGGATTTTTTTTTATTGTTGTTTACCATCACTACCAATCGTTTTTTTAAAAAAAACAAGCTACTTTTAAAATTGAAAAAAAAATTTAATTTCATGTATTGTGCTTCCTTATAACCTAGTTACTTTTGAATTTTGAAGTAAAATACAATTTGTGTGTAATGAACAGAATTATGGATGTACTGATTACTCTTAGTTTATATTAAGAATTTATGTTATTGATTCTGTTTGTGTACTATCAGACAATTGACAAATGAAAGCACCTAAAAGTTTTCTAAGATTTTGTAGAGTGGCTCACATTTTTTTTTTTAAATTGTTCATTTTATGGCATACTGGATTGAAAGTCATGTGTTATAATTGGATGTTTAACAATAATATTGACTTTTTTAAAACTTTAAAGTATGGTCATTTAATTTTCGATCAAGTACTATCCTTTAAAACACATTTTTATTACCTTTATAATCATTTGACATTTCAAATGGATTGAATCGAAGTAATAATTACACTAAAATTATTACTTTGAAAGATTATTTACTGGAATAATAACAGGCTTTTTCAATCTTAGTATTTCAAATGACATGCAATAATGCTTGGTTTGATAATTTTTGTCTTTTTAATTCTAGGTCTCTGTGGAAGAATTAGAACAGAGTATTAGTGTGAAAATAGCTAAAGAAGCCGTAATGAATATAAACAAACCTGAAAGCCTTTTTAAGCCTGCAAATGGATTTCTAGAAACCAAAGTATACTTTGCAGGATTTCCTCTGAAAGTGGTGAACGCACTCATTAGACCGGTAATGATCCAAGTTATATCATTGATCATGAGTGAATTCCTTTTGTCTGTAATAGATTTGAAGATTTGACTCTCTCTGAGAGTCGAAGAAGCTATTTTATTAAACATACCAACTGTGACAACATGGAAAAATAACACTAGTCACCCTCAAAACTATATTAAGGGAAGGAGACTGAGTGTAATGTTTTTGAGCCCATTTAAATTCCAAGTATTATTCATATTGAAGTAGATTTTTAAAAATTCTCAAGCATAAACTTTATGTTAACATTATAATAGTCCATACTTAGCTATTAAGCTATAAATACATATATTTAAATCCAAAAATACATTATTTTGCAGAAGTCAGTCAAAGAACTATCTTAGGTTTATTTTATTTTGGGAGACAAGAATAGCACATAAGGTGGAACTTTTTTTTTCAAGAAATCTTTGCTGGAAGTATAACTGCAGCCTGTCATAAATTGAAGTTAGATATAACAGATAATTTTGTCTAATAACTGTGGAATAGGCTTCATGAAGGAGACTAATCACTATCCTTGAAGAGTTTTAAAAATTTCATCTGAAATCATGGACCTGCCAATTACACTTGCTGGTTTAACTTAAATATTTACTATTTTATATCCATATTTCACTCATGGCAATTCACAGTTACCTTAACTTAAATAATTTCTGCAATATGATATAAAACCCGAATTAGTTAACTCATATCAGAGTGAATATATCTGTCCTTTGAAATTGATAAATCAAGACATTTTAATAGTAAAATAAATTATTAAAAAAGAATCAACCATTTATGAAATGGCTACTACATATCTTCAGTCTGGCTGGATGCTTTGGTGAGGTTAAAGAATGCAAACACTTTAGTTCCTGAAGAGGCTCTGAGTGATAGCAAGATAAACCTATGTGGTAAAAGCAATTAAAGAAAAATAGAAAGCAGCGTAGGGCCCAGGGCTGTAGCCAGAAGCATATATAGAACTTGAGAGCAGAAAAGTTATCCCTGAATGACACAGAAGAGACAGGTAGGGCTTGAAGTATTAAAAATTATTAGGATCCTAGTGGAGGCCTGTGATGGCATAAACTCACTTTTACTGAAAAAGACTATACATCTGAGGGACACATTGAAAAGAAAAATTTAGACAAAATTCAAAATATTTAAAATATTTTAAAATGTAATCAAAGAAAAGGTTTTTCGTCTAAATGAAAACCCATATCTATAATCAGTTAAGCCACTATCAGTCTGATTTATTTAAGTTAAAAATGCACTTCTTGACCTTGATCTATATTTTATTTTGTTAGATTAATCCTCGTCTAGATGGATGTATACGAGGCTGGAATTTGATGAATCAAAGAGCTTCAGGAGTAGAGGAAATTATTCAAGAAAAACAAAATAAGCATTGTTTTGTCACTGTGGAGAAAGGTTCCTACTATCCTGGTTCTGGAGTTGCTCAATTTAACATAGGTTATAGTAAGTAATTTCTCATTCTATTTCCCTTTTCTCATTAATGACTAAATTTATTCAGTGACAAACAGCAATAATTCCTTCAGTAAACATTATCAACACCTACTTTGTGTCAGGCTTATTCATACTTTTATATACTTTTTATAAAAATTTCCCAGTATGTTGGTGGGGGAGAAGTAGTTGAATGTACTTATGTTATTATTTAAAGATTATTGACACATAGCCTGATTATTTTTGGGTAAGTTCTATTGATCTATTTTAAGGTTTAACAATTTCTTAGTTGTAGTGAGTCAACTGATTAATACATTGAAAGGATTCATCTTCATTTCTAGCATATCCATTTGATCCTACCTTAAAATTTCCACATCTCAAAATTTCTCTTCTCTTCATATATGTTGTCTACCTTTTCTACCTGAACCTTCAGCATATTACAATTATTTTAAATTTCCTGATAGTTCCAACATCTATGTCAGATCTAAGCCTGATCGTGTGATTGTTTTGTCTCTTGACTATGTGTTGTTTCCTCCTTTCTTCTTTCTGTATCATATAATTTTTGTTTTAAAGGTGAGCATCTTATGTAGAAAAGTAGAGACCGAGATACGTAATATTTAGATTTGGAAATGAGCATACCTCTGCTTTTGCTAGGCCCTTAATTGGGGAAGAGGGGAATCAATCTAGTCAAAAGAAGAGCAGCTTAGGTATGGTTGTTTCTATAACTACTTGTCAAATTCCTTTTACATTATCTTACGCTTATGGTAGCAGCTGGTTTGCCAGAGGGTTTTTCTTATTAACTAATCCATCCTCAGCTTTAGGTATTCTTATTATCCTATGCCTGAAGAAAGTGTCTCTGTGGTCTTGCCTCACCCAGGGGAGTGTTCTTATTTTGTTCCTTGACATTTGCTAGCATATTACAGGGCTGTAGGATTTGGAGGTGGAGGGGAGCATTCTCCATTGTTCTTGTACAGATTGATTCTTAGGTGAGTATTGTATTCCTGGGTCCTGCATGTGAGTTTTTCATTGTCTCTCTCCCCTCACATCATTAGACATCAGGGGAGATGTCTAATGGTTAAAATTCAGGATCTTTTTCTGTTTCTTCTTCATGGTAGATTGTTTTTGTTGTTGCTTTTTTGTTTATTTGTTTTGTTTTTTTCTTATTTCCTTTCCCTAATCTTGTAGGTACGATGGGTCTTCGCATGTGTCCTAATGGTGACGTTTGCTACCTTTTCCGCAATGCTTTAAGGCTTCTGTTGCACAGAGCAGACAGAGAGGAATCTGGGTGGGGCTTTCTCCTTTTCTTACAGATTTCTGCTCCTCTCCCCCAGGCCTGCACTAGGAAGTAGGCTTTCTCTAATCTCTTTCTCTGCTCCCAGTTTTTTTCTTGAGCTCCTAGTAAGGTTTGTGAAGAAGAGGCCGTGAATGGGTATGAATTTCTTATATATAAGCAGTTCCCAGGGCTTCTGTACTCCCACACCAGCTCCCACTAGGACTTTAGCAAGTAGTTAAAAGTTTTACCTAAATTCTTGTTAAATTATATAGTATCTGGTGTCTGCCTTAGATAAGAGAGTACTCTCATCCTGTCTCTCCTCAGAAGCACCTGTCTTTCTTTAGGTTTCTAGTTAGTTAGTTGCTCTGCAATCTCAGTTCTTTGATAGTCCAAGGAAAGTTGTGGTTATGTAGATAATTGGGCACCTGATATTGTTATAAGGGTGGGAACAGTGCTTTTTCCAGTTTTCTACAGCCAAAGTGGACTTGCCAGACTGACCCAGGTTTTTACCTTTACAAATTATATTTCTATGAATGTCCTTGGACATACACCCTTGTACACTTATATAATTAATTCTGTAGGAAAGAATCTTAGATTATTTCTCTCGGAGGTTATGCAACTGTATAATTCTTACAGCTTTATCAGACTCTCTTCCAAAGATGTTTTTATCAAGTTATAGTTCTACCAACAAAGTTTATGCTTGAGATTTGTTTCCAATCAAAGTTGAAAAATTAAATCTTGTATATAGTTTTAAATTTTGTCATCCCAATTTCTTCTGAAGTTGAATATCTCTTCATGTGGTATATCTTAATTATTTTATTGGGTTCTTTGCCTTTTTTTTCTGTTTTAGAAGTTTTTTTATTTGCGGTACTAAGAATTTGCATTATAAATTTAATGTTAATCTGATAGCTCTGCTTTAAATTATACTTTAAATGTGTGCATTTGCAGCCTAAAAATGGAAGAACCAGTTTTAAGGAAGAAACTTACTTTAGTACTTTCTGTTTTTCTAACATAAATTAACAGTGTCTTTAACTTTAGCTCAGTTCTGTAAATGAAGAATTTTTTAAAAAAATGTTTAAATTGGGTTGATGACTAAATATAGAAACAATTGGCCACAATAATTTGTTGAAAGAAAAAATCTCAGAAAATATGAAAATTAGAATAATATTGTCTGAAAAAAAATTACTTTCATCAGAAATTAGTTTTTCATGGATAATTAGAAAGTTACATTATATTTTTATATAGTTACATTATATATTTAATGTTACATTATAATTTATTTGCATATTCATTTTCATTTGTCTTTGTAAATTTACTTATTTCATTTGTCTTTGTAAATTTACTTATATATTTTTTCTCTTGGGTGGGAATTAGAGGGTTATAATGAAAAATGTAATAGCATTAGCTATGGCTAAATGGAAGAACATCTTGTCAAGGGAAAATTATTGTCTCTGTTCACATTAACCCTTCCAAAGCCTCCAAGTGGTATTTGGGCTACTGTTATATATTACTTTATATTAAATGAGGGAGACTTCATTCAGATCGTGTACTAATATTTTAAGGAATCAAATTATTTTAGGAATATTAATTCAACAGATATTTGTTGAGTGACTACTGTGGGAAACAAAGTGATGGTAGAGACTACAGCATGCACTCTAATAAGATAGGCTATTAATCAAGGATTTAGAAAAAGAATGGTATTATAAGAGAATCACAGAAAAGCGTTTCTATTCAAATATCAGCGTTACTATTAACTTCAGGGTATTTCTCTACTATTGAACTACCCAACTTCCCTATTATATAAATCGTATTTTTCCTTCTCACTATTCTAACCTGATCCCTTTTTGGATGAGGAGTGGTGCAGCGGTGGTGGCAGCTATACCCAAATTTTACCTGAGAAATATTACACTAGATTTGTTGAATTTCCTTCTAAATGTGAATTATAAAATATGACCACTCAGATTAGAGCATTAGTGAATGTGCAAGGCAGAAAGAAGAGCTGTTAAATGGCAACCAGGGAAAATTCGTAATATTCCTAAACACCACAATCCAGAATTCTATTCTAGGAAGAACGGAAGGATGGAGCTCCATTTATGTGTTTCTTGCTGGCATTAAAAATTTTTTTCTTTTGTTTTGTTTTGCCTAGGTTATATAGATCATTAAGAAAGGAGAACTAAAATCTCTAGTATTGCACAAAAATGGCTTTCAGTATTGATAATATTGTAATAATTCCTTGTGGTGTACTTTAGATGTACATTGATCTTGCTTCTGTTTCATTGTTTAAACAGATAATGATACATCGAATCCTGAGGCTTGGCAAGTAAATGTGTCCTTGAGTATTCGTCCATCCACAGGCACTGGTGTTATGTTTGCTTTGGTTTCTGGTTACACAGTGCCCTTTGCCTTGTCCTTGGTGGACTCCACCTCTGAAAAGCTTCAGGTATCTTTATTCTAAACCTTTATGATCTTTGGTGGTGGTGGTTGTTTTAATCTGTAAAATGGATATAATAGCAGTATTTACTTCAAAATGCTATTTTGAAGATTAAATGAGATGATGATGTAAAGTATTTGACACAATCTCTAGCACATCATTAAGGATTCAATAAATGTTATTTTTTTGCTGATTTATTTCTAAAGTCTGAAACAAGTAGTACTGGGGAGAGATTAAAAAACCTATTGTATCTATAGCTCAGATTAGGTAGACTCACACACAGGCTGCTTGGAGCCTTCTCAGAGCACATAGGGATCCACCCTTATTCAGAATCCTTGAAGTATCATGGGAATTAGTCTGTACTAACACAATAGAAGTGAGTCTGACTACAATCTGCTCTCAGATATTTGGTGCCTAATTATAATGTTTTTTACTTTAGTGTCTAATTATAATGTTTTGTACTTTCCTAATCTACTCCCATGAGTAGAAAGACTAGAGAAAACTAAAACCAGTCCACTTGGCTTCTTGCTGGCAACTCTGATTTGAAATTAGGAGGAAGAACAGGGAAAAACTCTTGGATAAAAGGAAACATGAGTGTTATCAGAAGATCTGTATTATTCAGCCTTCTATTAGAGGCTAAGTGTTCTATCCATATGTCATATGCAGTGCATTCCAACAAGTTAAAGCAAGAAGCATGCATTTGTGCCAAGGTTGGCTTGGATGTTCTCTGTGTTCTCTGTACCTTTGAGAAAGAGACATATAATTGAATAATACCTGTGGTAATAAACAAGGGTGCTGTTTACAACTTAAAGGATGACTTTGGGGAGTTTCTGGTGGTCAACCTAAGCAACCTAAAAGGTCCTGCTGAGTTTTTAGCTCCAGTTTACCACAGGAGCTTACTACATTTGGATTTAAGCTTTTTGTTTCCTTGGTTTTTTTTAAAAAAACAAAATGGAATTCCTATCTTTAACATTAAATTCCTGTATGGAGGTTAACACATGCCATGTCTTTGATATTTATTTTATCATTTTGTGTTTATCTCGATGGCTCCATTATTTGCATGTCAGATTGCTTTCTCAAAATCTGTGTACATTCTTTTATAATGTTATTCCACATACTACTGATCATTCTGGAACATTTTCTCAGCTGGCCATCTTTAAGTCTTAATGAGTTCAAGGATATGGACTGTATAACACAGTAACAGATTTCCTAAATAAACTTTATTTGCAAAGTACAGACTTCACTTAATATAGGTATCTTAGTTTTGATTTTATTTTCTCTTATGTTTTACACTTCCTCTACACACATATAAGCTGTATGCATAGATCACTGTCAACAAGTTGAGTAATTTTGTGTATCAGCAGTTTGAAAAGTTCAGCAAAATGAATACATTTTCTCATTCGAGAATCTTCTTATAAATACTCTGTAATTTACTACTGGCAATCCTTGGTTTTTCTCTCTTGGAACTTCTTCATTCATTTTGTCCCAAGTCTATAGGATTGCTTGGGTGGCACAAAAATCCTTTCAGTTTTGCTGGCATGTGCTTACTAAAGCACTTTAAATTTCTCGAGTATTTTCCCCAACAAAGAGTAATTCAGCTTCTTCCTTTTTCATATATAAGTTTTGAAGTTAAGAAGGCTCATCAACAGCAAAATATTGCTTCAGACACTATTTTAGGTTCCTGTTGTTGTACAACTCTGTTGGTTACTGAATTTTCATAAGCCACTATACATTTATATCTTAGCTAAACCTAAAGTTTGTAAATCTAATATATATTTTAAAATTATTATTTTTATAATAATTAGTAATTTTTTCATTTAAACTTGGAGGCTCTATCATACTTTTTTCCCCCCTCATTGAAATTCGGTTTCTGAATTTCAAAAACTCAAACTCACTCTTAAGTGGCATTATCTTTATATTCACTTATATTGAGTCTTTGCCTGTTTTTCAGGATATCTTGGTGTCTGTTGAAAATACAGTAATATTTCGGAAGGAGGCCATAAATCTTTGTTCCACTCAACAATTCCATCTGGAATTCGGAGTCAACAGAAAAAACCTGGAGTTGTCAACTCCACTTAAAAAAGATATTGTCTACTCTGAAGACCTTCAAAGACAATTTGCTGTCTTGGATAAAGCAATGAAAGGAACAGTGGTCACTTACCTGGGTGGCCTTCCAGGTATCTTATTTTTTCTTCAGTTTTAAAAAGTGTATTTTTAATCAAATCAATGATATTTTAAATATATAATTTTAGTAAAAGGGCATCAGAGGGAAGACCAAATTCCAGTGTTCATTATTATTTTTCTGACGGTTCATATTGACATTTTATTGGTACATTTTTATTTTATTTATTTTTTTTTTTATGATGAACTGAAACTAACCAAATTCTGCTACATTTGACTATCCTGGCCAGAAAGAATACGTTATTTCATTTTATCCTCACAGTAGTCTTATGAATTCAATATTTATTCCATTTATCACACACCTAATATTTCTTAAGAACCTACATCCTAGGCACTAGGGATGTAGTAATGAATAAATAGATTTCATCCCTGTTGTTAAGAGTTTTACAATCTAGTAGCAAAGGCAGACATTAAGCAAGTGATTAGGAAAAGATCAAAAAAAAATTGTCATAACTTCTATGAAGGAAAATGTAGGTTGATTTTGGAGCCTGAAAATGGGGACTTGTTCTGGTTATGGTGAGCAGAAACAAGCTCTCTGAAGAGACTAAGATAGGAATCTGATATTTGAAAGATTAAATGGATTTAACAAGGTGGTGGGGGTAAGGATTGGCATTAGTATGCAAGTAAAATGGTCCATGTGTGGGAAAAATGGGAAGAGGTTGATTGATATTCTTGAGGAATATATAGAAGATCAGTATGATGAAAGCAGTGGGAATGGCATTGCAGGATGAGGCTGTGAATTGGGTGGTGGTGAGATAGGAGGTTTGTAGACCTAGTTCAGGGTCCTGAGTCTTATTTTAAGAGCCATTAAAAAAGTTTTAGACAAGGAAGTTGTATATAAATATTGCAGTTTAAGAAATCCACTGTGTATAATGGATGAAGATGGACGGGTGAGAGGCAAAAGTGGTCGAGATGAGTTGGGGGCTCCTGACGTGGTCCAGGTGAAGAAGTAGTAGTAATAACAGCAGTGACAAGTATACTACCATCAGTTGGTACATAATAAACAGTCTACGAAGTGTTTAGAGTGTTTCAAATTTATCAACTCATTGAATTTTCAAAATAGTTTAGTGAAGTAGGTACTATTATCCTTGTTTTACAGATGAGGAAGCTACTGAACTAGGGTCTTCATTTCCCATATAGAGAATTTTTATCTGGGTTTTTTGAGAATTAGAAGTAAATAGGCTATAAATATATATAGATAGTTAAATTAGTATGGTTGATTATAAGGAAGTTAAGTTACCAGGATTAATTATTAGGAATTATGATTATAGTTTAAATGAATAAATTCAATATTGAAATCCACCTACCTTATTCACAAATTATTTGAATGCAATTTCAGGAAATCAAACAAGCAATGAAAAGTTCAAAACAAGTAAAAATATGAAAAATTCAATGGTTCCAAGTCTTTGACCATAGCACTGAAGACTGACTGTTGAGAAAGAGTGAGGAAAATTAAGGGGAATTGAAAATTGAGGTAGTAAGTGTAAACTATGGGATGAGTAAATTATAATTGATATGCAAAATAGGCTTGTTAAATTACATGTTATGAATTAAAAATTAGGGAAAATTGATGATTCTGAGGTTTTTTTATAATAGTGGCATAATCTATGATGCTCAGCCAGACTTGAAAGGATTTCTTTAAAAAATGCTCTGAGCCCACAGAAAAGTATGGACTTTATTCACGGTATTGTCAATTTAGAGGTAGAAAATTTAAAGTGTGTGTGTGAAGAAGAAGAATGAGGGCTGAAGAATATCCATTGGGAATTAAAATTAATGGAAAGGAGATGCCAAAAAAAGAGGAAGCAATGGAGAGATGGATGTTTTTAAGATGAACCGTAGTTCTTAGAAATGCAAGGGTATAACCCAAATATTAAGTTTGATAAAGAAAGTGAAAGTGTAGAAAGACCCCAAAGGCCACAAACTTATTCAATGAAGCATTATTAAAGTTGTTATTTTTAGAACACCAAATATTACATATAAGTGAATTCCCTGTCATGACCTGTCATTATATACTCAGCAAGAAACTATTTCTTTGGAAAATATAGAAATTTGCTTTTATTCCAGTAATAATAAAAGAGATATATTAATCATAGCATTTAAAAAAAGATTTCCAAGTAGCTGTAATTCAGAGCAAAAAATGATTTAACAATGCTTAAACTGTCAAATTTAAAGAGACAATATTGAAGTAGAACATTATAAGTAAGAATATGATCTTTTTTACACGTTAGTGTGTTTATCTTAGGTTTGCATGGAACTGATTGTGTTTATGGAATCAAAGGAACTTGTGGATGCTCAGTTCAGTGCCAAGCACAATACCTTATTTACAGAGGAATCTCTTAATAAAAATTTATAAAATAGAATTACATTATTAACTTTTCCTTTAGGATTCGAATTTGGTTGGAAATGGAAAGTCTGAATAATTCCTCCAACTGTAAGCAGAAAAAATGCTAAAAGTCTTGGGCTAATATTTTAATGTTCTGTTTTTACAGATGTTCCATTCAGCGCAACACCAGTGAATTCTTATTACAATGGCTGTATGGAAGTGAACGTTAACAATGTACAGCTGGATCTGGATGAAGCCATTTCTAAACATAATGATATTAGAGCTCATTCATGTCCATCAGTTTTGCAAAAAAAATAGAGTACTTAAGGCATCTTTTCTCTGCTGATATTATCTTTTTCCTGGGTGTAATTATACTTCTGTTTCAATAATAGTTGAAGGGTTTTACTTATGATGTGCAGACCTCGATTGTTTTATGGTATTTTGGCCTTCTCAGAATTTTAAAAAGGTCCTTTTTCAAGAAAATAAGATTCTCGTGTGATGTAAATCACATTAAAGAATTCTTACCTATGTTGTTGTCTAGAAATTAAATAATGAAACATAAATAATTTGATTTTTTTTGCCATAAATGACATTTCTTTATTTTTATGTTTGTAAATGTAAAATTTAACTTTATCATCATAAATTAGTGTTTAAATATTTACTTTTCTCAGAGGGCAAGGAAGTAAACACAAACAGAAGTTCTTGTGACTAAATACTATTGATCATAGTAGGTACTATTTTATTCTATTTTATTTTTATTCTATTTTATTTTATTTTTTATTTCTTCTTAAGGCAGTAGAAGAAGAGACAGTGGCCTATTAATTTGAATTGAGGGAAAGGCCTTAAAGCTTTATTCCAAAACAACTCCTTAGGGGGACCAGCTTTAGCTTCATTTTTCTTTCACCTGGCTTTACATTTGAACTAGTAGTTTTAGAGAATTAGAAAACAAGTGGGACAGATTTTCATGAGAGCAGTATATGAATCTTTCTGGTTAGTAATTGGACTGTATGAGTGTGAGATTCTAGATCATGTTGGGATGGGTGTGGAAACCTGGGATGGGTATATTACTTAAATTAGGCTGTGTGGATCTAGAGTAGAAAAGGCAGAACCTAATGATGGAAAGAATGAATGAGAGAATGAATAATATGAAAGTTCATAGTGTTCTTTGAACTCAACTTTAATTACCAGAGTAAGTTGCCAGAATATGATTGTTGAAAGACAAAAGAAACTATGAAAAATTGAACAGACTAATGAAAGGACAGCCAGAGAGGGACATAATTAATTAATATTGTGTCTTTGTAATATTGTATCTTTGAAGTAAGGAGGTAAGATTACTTGCTGGTAATTCATTTCAAATGGCAGTTTTATGACTCCTAAAACTACGGTTCATATTAAGCATGTATCAGATGTTTCACTGACAGTTATAGAAAAATAAACTTCTCTTCCACTATAGATATTTTGCATCATGTAAATAATAAATTGGTGTATATTTAAAAATTTATGTGAATAATATCTATATTCTATCAACTCTTTGAACTGAATATAAAATTACATAATATATATGTGACTTCATGCAGCACAGTTGTTTTTTAGTTGAAAGACAGATAAAGTTCAAATATATAATGAGTAATTATGGTTGGAACTCAAAAGTGAGAATAAAAGCAAAAGTAACATGTATTGAGTATTTGACACATGCCAGAAATTGTGCTTGATCATCTTCCTGGGTGTAATTTCTCTCCCAGTTACCACTGAGCACTATGGATGATGAATTTGAGCAAGCAACTACTGATAATTACGTGAATGTAAAAAAGCAAGGCAGTAGAAAAACCTAAAGTATATGAAGAAGAAAAAGAAAAGAAGATAAATAAATTTTTTAGGTGGAAGAGCTTTCTGATTCTCATTTAATCATGCCTAAATACTCTCAACTATAGGGATCAAGTCCCCATTTCTCAGCCAAACTTGCAATGTGCGGTAATCTCCATAGAGGCTCCAGAGACTCATAAATTTCATCTAACTATGTTTGAGATGGGCTTGCAAATGGAAGAGAGAGAGAGAGAGAGAGAGAGAGAGCGAGCGAGCGAGCGAGCACGCGCATCTAAACCTCAGGCTGACACATTTCATCTTTGATTTTGATCTTTGCCAAGAGATATGGATTCCTACTTTTAAAGAGTTGGCAGAGAACATGAAGGCCAAAGTAGCATACTTGGTGCTATTTGAGCTTTGTATCATGAAGAAATCCAAGTGACAGAGTCATTACAGAGTCCCCTAGAACTTACCATTTACAGAGATAGGTTATAGATCAGTAAACATAATGGTTAATTCGTGAGAACAGAGCTATTCACCTCCGTTCTGTCTGAAATTGTAATTCCAGTCTCAGTCTCCATGAGTCAAAGTATTTCCAACTTTCTTTTCATCCTGGAAATGGTGTTACTGCTGGAAAGAGGACTTTTCTGTGTGTTTGTTTAATAATTGCCTCATTTCTTTTGGAAATCCATTAGTCTCTATGGTCAGTACAGGACTGGTATATTTGAAATAATTTTATTTCAGATTTCTTGATATTGCTATTAATGACATGAATTTGGGAGAAGATATGGCCACTAGATCCTCTAGGGATAAGTGTGATAAATTTTTAATTAATTCATTCAGCAACAAATATTATCAAGTACCTACTCTGTGTATATAGAGGCAAAGGTAGTAGAATGTCTGAAGAGCTAAGGCCCAACTGAATAGGAAGTGACAGTACTCAAGTCAGCCCATGGTAGGCCTCACCCATTCCTCGGAGTTACAAAGCAGGTTCTTTCAGGTTGTACTAAGAAATTGAAGCAATAAAACTTTTGATCATTGCTCCTATATTAGAGTAGTTTGTTCTCTGCAAATGAGACTGATTTGAAAATGAGACTGGGTTACTTGCTATACCAGGCTTCAAAATTTCACAGAGAATTTATATTTGAAAATTGGATCTTATCCAGTGGAAGAGGCATTGGCCAGAGGTTCATCCTGTGCCTTACTCCGGTCCAGCCCCAGCTGTGTTCATATTTGCAGAGCGTGAAAGTGAAGGGCTGTTATGTGTGTCAGCAGCCTATGACATTTTTTTGGTACATATTAATATTAAAAATGCAAGGCCAGATTACTAAATCAGATTGACACTGTAAAAAGATTGAAACAAGATATGTAAATGTAAGAAAGTCAGAAAAAGAGGGGAACTGAGCATGGGTAAGTTTGGAACAAGTAGTATACCATTGAGGCCGTGAGGCATATCCTGAGCCGCAGTCAACTACTTCCGCAATGCTTTGGACCAGCCATGATAAAGCAATTATCTTATGGACAAGAAAAGCATCCAGTGAACTTACAGACTCATTTCTGTATCCTATGACTACTTTCCACCACAAGCCCATTTCAAAGAAAATTCTAAAGGTTTTGGGAAGGCAACAATAAATTCATTTATTGAACAACTATATGTGAAACACACATAATATGTCAGACACTATTCTGGGTATGTGGATTACATGAGTGACTAAAACAGACAAATATTTTTGTACCTATGTACAAATAAAGTCATGGAAAAGAAAGGAACCTTAGAGCTCCAAGCCAGAAATGTCTTCTATGATTCTTTTCCTATCAGGTCTTAATTTAAATAAACTTTTTACCTACTATTAGGCTGACAGATTCCAGTTACTTTGTACTGTTAAATTCAATGAAAAAAAAGTTACTGAGAAGTGGTCTTTAAGGCACTGTGTGAACACTTTCACTGGTACAGAGCTCACTATTTACCCAAGTCAGCCCATTTTCTTTTTGTTCAGTGCATCATTTTAAAACCTTCAAGAAGCAGATATTGAAAGGATATTATGCAGGGATTATAGACTGAATCTCCTCAAAATGTATCTGTTGAAGCTCTAAACCTCAATGTGACTCCATTTGGAGATAAGGCCTGTAAAGAGGTAATTAAGGTTAAGTGGAGTCATAAGCGTGAGACTCTAATCCACTGTGACTAACTAGTGTCCTTGTAAGAGGAGAGAGGGATGCATACACATAGAGGAAGTGGCATGTGCGGACATATTCAGAAGGAAGTCATCTGCAAGCCAAGGAATGAGGCTTTATGAGAAACCGACGCCTTGGTCTTGGGCTTCCAGCCCTCAGACTGTGAGAAAGCAAATTTCTGTTGTTCAAGCCATCCAGTCTGTTATTTTATTATGGCAGCTCCAGCAGACTAATACAACAGGCAGTAGATTTCTTGGAATGGACACCCAGGA